AGCAATAGACAGGAAACGTGCCAGGCTAAAGCACAACCTGCATAACTCTATGATAAACCTTGTGAAACCCTTTTCCTGCATACCAACAATTCCAGGCTCTTAGATCTGTGGGAAAGACCACCATCGTGACTTATAATCGCACTTGCCAGGCTCAATTATGGTTGTAAGTTGAGGATTACCTGTACTAAGCTACTAACTGTGATTTACAAATGGCAACCACTAGACTCCTACAACGTGAACTCATTATTTCAGGAGCTTTTTTAAAATGCCTATTGCTTGGCTCCTTCGAACCCATTCACTGCAGCTATGCCTGAGTCATCTTCCTGAAACTACAGCCTCAAGATATCTAAACTTAGCCTACTGGTGAACAGTTATCAGTGATTAAGCACAACCTGTTGCTCGATTATCTTGTATAAATTGTGATATGTGGAAATTCAGAGACTTAGTTCTTCCAGAATTTCAGTAAAATAAGCATGAGACTCGAGTGTCCTTTACTGATCAACAGCAAAGACAACATTCAACACTATCACTCAGGATGGGAGCAGGTCCCTTGGCATTTTTGGAAAGCCTGAATGTTGATGTTTTTAATCAACTAAAGGGAGCGAAACACCGATAAACATGACAAAACTACCAGGCATTATGATTCCTATGGAAAACAAAGAGGTGCAATGCTAACTCGTAATTCATTGCTTCCATAATTACTTTAATGCTTCATATTTGTAACACCTACACTGGAATTATGTTCGCTGTAATAAATATTTATTCTGTGTGGCTTTTCTAGTTTCTATAAAGTTTTTATCAGATAACAGGAAAAAAGGACAACAGTGAGCCAACCGCAAACAAAATAATAACTGTTATCTCACATGTTACTTCTGGCAGTGCTAACTATTATGTTTTCTTATCATTTCCAATTTGAGAACTTTGTTGTTTACCTAGCTAAAGAAACAAAACTCAACAGATCGGATTTTTAAAATATGTGGAATTCACAAGAGGTTATATTTTGCAACTGGAATACTGAAATGCACTCATCCATGCCAGGGTTAGCTATAAAAAAAGATAATGTTCAGCTAAAACCTAAAAAAAAAAAATCCTTTTGCACTGGATGGTTATTCTTGTGATAAAACTGGTGCAGATCACACCGCCTTACAGTAATTTATCTCTGAGATCGCAATACAGCACTTCATGTTCCCAAGCATCTTTCCTTGCATTACCTCAGGAAATAAACTGGAAGGTAGAAATGACAAGATAAGTGACACCATTTTATCTGACAGCCTGCTGCCATTTCAAAAGGTTTTATGTCACTTTCTGGCTTATAATAAATACACAGGGTGGTTTACTGCCATTTCATAAAAATATACCAAAGTAATAAAAACAAGCAAAATAGTAAATATAGGTAGCCCTTGACTTACAGCAGTTCTTTTAGCAACTGTTCAAAGTTACAAAGGCACCGAAAGTGTATCAAAAATGTCAGCGGCAAAGAACCTTGTGTACACCCTGATAAATTTGTTATAAACACAATACACTGAGACACAGATGAGGAGAGCCAACATTGTAGTGGTTAAGGCAGCAAGCTAGAAAACAGGATACCATGAGTTTTAGTCCTACCTTAGGCACAAAGCCAGCTAGGTGATTTTGGGCCAGTCACTCTCTCTCAGCCCTAGGAAGGAGGCAATGGCAAGCCACTTCCAAAACCTTACCAAGAAAATTCTAAGGACTTGTCCAGGCTATCACTAGGAGTCAACGCTGATATGAAGGCACCAACTTTATACAATATGTGAAGTAATGTTTTAAAATATGGGAAGGTGAATGCATGTTGGGAGGGGAAGGAATATTGAGGTCAGAAATAAATTAAATGTAGAAATAAAGATTCTTTCTCTGAAACCAAGAACAGATAAATAGTTAAAACAAAGAAACCTTAGCACAGAATATAATTTTAATTAGCCTCCAAGGACATTGTACAGAGACAATTATAGGGATATGGAGAGAGGGAAATGACAACAGATTTGTAAAGATGGAAGTGACTTGTTTTATTTACTTGCATTAGATGTCATGACATCATGTAAATAACATACTTATGTAATGACATAAGACATGCACTGTCACTCTGATTTCTTGCTGCAATGCTTATGTCTGTAGGAGAAAAAAAACTCTCTTCATTGTATATAAAAAATGAGAGTGACAAAACCAAGTGAAGATCCCAGAACAAAGGTATATTCTTTGCTTGTAGACCTAGGACCAGATTTGGCCTTTTGAATTACATCCTGGAAGTTGCACTTCAAAAAGCAGAAATGACCAGATTAAAGTAATGGTCAGAACCAGAACAAAAAATTCTAAATTTGATTTTAATTTAAACCAAATGAATTAAATCCCTCTTGAGACCAGTCTGAACATTTAATCATTTTTCCTTCATCTATTAACATTATATTTGGCCGTTTTCAAAGGGACTTTATGAGAACCATATCAAGGCATGTGCAGGTCTTAACCTCAAGTTATGCTCCCCATTTATAAGAGAAGATAATCAACTATAGGATTGGGTGATGGGCAGCAAGAAGCAAATAATCTAGAACAGGGGTGTCAAACTGCTGGCCCGCAGGCCGAATGCATCATCCGGAAGTCACGCCCACCCCATTGCTGGCAATGGCAAAACCGTCCCGATATGTTGCGTTACGTCACGTGACATCACGAGTTTGACATGTCTGATCTAGAATAATATCCACTGTGTTGGATACACAATATGGTCCCTAGGTGGAATCCAACTATCAATCCCAAATAATGTACTTAATTAGATGCTACAGTTCCAAACAAATTCCAGGAATGATCCTGCCCAGAAAACATTACTCAGTGATTAAATCTGGAGAATATCAAGGCAGCCGGCTTTGGCCAGATTATATTATGGGTTTCAGAGCACTGAGATTCTCTTTCTTGCTCAAGTCCACCTTACCAAAATAACACTGAATTACAAGTAGTCCTTGACTTACAACCACAATTCAGATCAAAATTTTTGTTGCTTAGCAAGACATTTGTTAAATGAGTTTTACCCCATTTTACGACCTTTCTTGCCATAGTTAAGTGAATTAAGTGAATCCCTGCTGTTGTTAAGTACCGTAACACAGTTGTTAAGTGAATTTGGCTTCCCCATTGACTTTGCTTGTCAGAAGGTTGCAAAAGGTGATTACAGGACCCCAGGATATTGCAACTGTCATAAATATGAGTCAGTTGCCAAGCGTCTGAATTTTGATCATGTGACAATGGGGATGCTGCAAGGATCATAAGTGTGAAAAATGGCCATGTCACTTTTTTCAGTGCTGTCGTAACTTTGAACGGTCATTAAACAAACTGTTGTAATTTGAGAACTACTAGTATGTATTCCTTATGTCTTTACTCCAAATTCTGATTCAAGGAAAAATAATCATATCCATTTCTGTACTTGGCTCTGGAAACACCTTCACATCAGATCCAATTCTTGGTCCAATTTGTGTCAATATGTCAAGTGCCAACAGTTCTACCAGGTCCAAAGTAGAGATTATTTCTCATGAACTGATAAATTATCTTTTAAAATGGAGATGCAACATACTCGACCATCTGTCTTTTGGTATCCAACCTTGCAAAATACAGAGCTAGTCCAAGAGAGAGAGATAAAGCAGGAATCTGTTCTCCAGGCATATTCTCTAATTCTTCTCTCTTACAAGAACTGTGTTTATAACAAGGTCTCATTGTGCTTAAAACATGCCCACACCCACACACACATTAATAGAATGGATTGGTACTAGAGTTAAGAACTGTATACAGTACAAACTTTCTAATTTCAGAAATCAGCAAATACACTGGATTTTCTTCTACATACATAAATGTACTTATACTCAGTTAGCAGCTTCATACAACATTTCCACACAACGAAAAATCCACCTATGGGTCAATCTCCTAAACTATGTACCCATAATATTTAATCTTCCATTAAAGTATCTGCTCTTCAGGCAGCTTTCCCTGATCTCATTTTTCTGGGATGTGACAGACAACCAATATCTGTAATCCAATCCATGTGGAGGAAAGTTGGGGAAGACAGGTTTAGGAATGGTGTAAAATAAGATGAGGTCACTTAATGGCAGATGACAGGAAGTGATAAAGTTCTAATACTTCATTTCCTAAACAAAATGCTTTAGCAGCAGCCCTGCCTGACACAGATCAGATTGTAGACAAGCTTCTAATTAATGGAGACAGTAAACCAGCAGGGACTCACTGATCACTCAACCTTTTTCCTTTCTTATGCCCCAGTCAAATGGCTAGGAAGGGCCTATCATGATTTAATAACTCACATTCTTCTAGGTGGTGAATCCACTGGATAGTGGGTGCTTCCACATAAGCCTTACATTGCACAATCAATGCCATTTCATTTGGAGGCCCAAATACTGATCCTCTGCCTGTGGGTTTTTTTTTTTTTTTTTTTTCTGTCAGCGCTCCATCCAGGAGAAAGGGTTCGTATGCTACATAATTAATATAATCTATAGATTAATCGTAGCTTCCCATCTGGAAGCGTTTTTTAGTCCAAATGGAGCGCTGCCGGGGATGTGCAAGAAGCAAACCACACATATATCTCATCCGAGGATCGGGTCATTCCCCGTTCCACCCCTCCCTCCCCCCCCCCCGATTTACATTAAACTCCTGTTGCAAGTTGCCCAGCTCAACTGCGGAAAGCTCTCTGCTTATACTCAAGAGTCTGGTTTGCTCTATCGCTTCCTGTCTAGAACATACTATAGATTTGATTCTTCGGCCAGATCAAATCCCTGGAAGATTCTGGGGTTAGGAGGGTAGGAGGAAAGGGACACTTTTGAAACAGGCTCACAATCACGCCAATTCGGCCGACAAGGGACTATTTCTATTTAGCAGCTGTTGTTTTTAAAGAGCCTCCTCCTCCTCCCCCCCCCCAACTCACGCTTCCGTAGATAGCGCAAGAGGCAAGAGGCGAGGCACAGCCCTACTTCTCAGTAAATAAAAAGTCCCACCTTTTCACTTTCCGCCAGGAGAGTCTGCTACGCATATCCCACTTCAGCAGATCGCAAAAATAGCTCTGCGTAGGTGGTCCTATTTGTGTAAAAGGACAGCGGCTGAAGAAGAGCTACAATACTTCACAAGTCCGGCTGGAGCGCCCGCTTTGCTTTCCTTTTCGCTCCACCCCCCCCCCCCCGGAGAAGGATTTGTAAAGTTACTGCGAAATCTCGCTGCTATTCTCTCCTCAGGTAACTTTGCCTCCAAACGTTGCGAATATGGGGGTGCTCGTTTGGAAGCCGCTCCCGCAGTGCCATCTAGTGGCCTTGCATGGAAAATACGACTCTTAAAACAATAAACAGACCGTATTTGGAACGACTGGGGGGGGGGGAGGAGAGAGAAATGGAGGAACAATTTGGTAATGATACCTGAAACAGCGAACTTGTTGAGCAACCTTACTCTCCTTTTCTTGTGAGGAGATTGAGCTGCTCAAACGCAAATGAAACGCAATGATGAAAAATACAATTTCATTCTGAGGACAAAAACTCAGATATATCCAGATAAGAATTGTTTGCTTTATTTATTTGCATCCCTTTATTATTTTTACAAATATTATTGTCTTTCCTGTTTGAATGCGTTTTATGTGTCATTTGTTGAGCTGCAACACTAAATCTATATAGTTTGTTTTTATTTAATATTATTTGAATGACTTATAGAAGGGGTGAGTTGATGCAACAGAGATAAAGTGGAGGACTAGAAAATTCTTATTCACTCTCAAGGACTGGAAGAAACAGGAAATAAAAGACAGTAGAATGTCACCAATTATCTCAGCATTAAGTTCACAATAGGTTGTAAGCTAACATCTGATCTACCTTAGTTTCTCCTCTGTCAAATCCTGTCCATTTGCCTAAGTTATTGGAAATTGACTATATACAGGAAAGTGCTTGCATCTCTACATACATAATCTTTACACAAAAAAAGATGGAATTCCAAAATGTAAACATCCTTAAAAATCACTTTTTAGCCCTTTTATAGTCTTATTTTCATGTTGTGCAATATAAAGCAATAATATTCACAATGAGACTTTGAATGATAGGGTTCTTGAGATCAACAAGGGCAATATGGTGTCCCACTGAAGAGATCAAGCAAAGTATAATCTTTCAAAATGTATAATTTTATGCATAATCAATCTTTCATGTGTAACATAGCCCAGCTGTTGTTCATTTATTGCTGCTTGCTTTCTGTATGTGCTCCATTGTATTCTAAATTGTGCTGACCAAAGAAACTGTTGGTTACTTTAAACTGTGTTGTTCCAAGAGTTAGAGAAAGTAGCTAAGAATCTGTAACACTTCGTTCTTCCCCTCCTCCCTTTTTTTTTTCTCCTTGGATCATAAATGTAGCAGCTTTTCTTTCACTTCCCTAGCTAGCTGCCTAGAAGTAACAAGTTAAGTTTCTGGGCTAATTGCCAGTTATTGAACTATTGTGTATTCAGGCTTAGAGATACAGAAATGTAATTGAGCTTGAATAGATAAGGAAACTCAAAGGAAATGTTGATGTGCAGGAACTTTGTAATGTGTATTAGTTATAAAAAGCAGAATTTTTCTGGTAGGTGGTTCTCACTGTTCTCTGTCTCATAGCAGTGCGCGTGACAAGAGATTGAAACACCCAGTTTATTCCTTTGATCAAAAGAATAAATTTGTGTTCTTTTCAGTTGCCTCGTGTTCAGAATCTCATTGGGATTTATTAGGATTTGACCTAAAAACCTTACACCACAAAATATGCATATATTGAGCAATGGATCCAACATAATATTTCCTGGAAGCCTAGCAACTTCTTTGAGCACCTCTTACAAGTACTACTGTTCTGGCACACAGGAATGAATGAGTAAATGAAAAGTTAGATGGAAATAAAGTGTGGAGTACTTCAAAAGGATTCCAATCTTCCCCCAAATAAAATAAAGACAGGTGTGGAAGTATGCAAAATATATTTATATGTATTTTTAAAGTAAATAACCAGGGAAGAGACAGAGTAATGGAAGATAATGGATATTATTCTAGTCTGAAAGCCACACATAGCTAAAAAATAAAGGAGCAAATATCTATGGAACATCCATATTTTGGGACAGGCCCATTTTTGCTCTATTCTAAATAGCTTTTTTGCCAAGAGGAAAAAAAGATGAGGGTGAAACAGAATGATTAAAAGAAAATAATGTCCATATGTCCATAAAATTATACAAAGAACACTGCACATTAAAGTCTGCCTGAAAGCAATCTCACACAGTGAATCAAAATCATGGTTATATCTGAAACAGGTTGATCTTTTTTAAAAAAATACTATATATATATAAAAAATATCTACCGTAGATTGGTAAATATTCTGAGATATGTAAAATGGGTTTCCCTCATTGCTGACAGATACCAGGAAGGGTGATAAGCAACAGAAGGTTCTGTACCTCTTTTTAAGCGAATCATAAGAATATTTGTAACTCGGGGTGGAATTGTGGAGTTTTTTCATGCTTTCTGGTCTTGGTTGTTGCAGACATTTCATTATCCAGCTAGGTAGCATCAGTATGTATCAATAACAAAATATCTATAAGCAAATAACCAAGCTACAGAGTGGTAAGAACTCCAAAGAAAGGAGCAATGCATTTATGTACTGCACAATATAGCAGATAAAAAAATTAATGAACCTGGAAAAGAGATTACATTTCCACTTTTAATGAGGCAAATTAAGGACAATTGTCCAGTCAGTTGCCAGATTTATTAGCCAAAACAATAGAGCCAAAGAAATTCCATCATATTTAAGGAGCCTAACTAAGCAGGATTAACATTGAAAACACCAAGGCTCTGTTACTGCACAATTACAAATGGGAAGGGAGAGTTAATACAGCTGAGAGATGAATCAGAGGTCTTGCAAATACTTCCTCCCACAGACAGGCTTTGGATTCAGTCCCATGACTGGAAGAAAGAGGAAAGAAGAGACAGCAAAATATTCCCAGGCCAAATGTAACTGAAATTATCTAAGTCTATTGATTCAACAAAAGTCCCTATTTTTTAAATAAATATTATGACTGAATCTATCAGCATTTAGCTTTGCAGAATTCCCTGTTAAAATACAAGCAGTAAATTAAAATGATAAAAATGGCATATTTAACAAGGCAAGGCAAAAAGGAAAACAAGCCAAAACTAATCCTCATATGTCCAAAGGTAGCTCACGGTACATATGAGAACTCCCTTTATGAAAGAGATTATATTTATGCATTTTATATATAGGTTAAGTTTTGTTTTTGTTTTTTTTTTAAAAAAAAAACCCCAGTAAAATACAAACTAACATAAAGGAAAAAGTGGGGAGAGGATAAAAGGGAAAAATTTTAAAGTGACAAAAAAACAGATGGAACAAATATAAGGGTTTCTAGCTCTACTCTTATTGAAAGTAGGAGAACCATAATAAAGGATGAACACACATCCTGAATATATGCCCTTTTTGACTTGGTTTGGTACCGATAGCTTTTGGGGGGGGGGTTTCCTGTGGTATCATGTAACCAAGTCAAAAAGGGCAATATTTTTCTTCATAATTATATCACTATTGTGGAAAGAGAAAGAAATATTTTGGGGAATATTAAAAAGGCAGAATATATTTCCCCAAAGGAATAATGGAGAAGATCTTTTAAAAGACAGAAACCAGCCCCTCTTCCCCAAGCAGAAAATTCAGCAGAGGCCAGCTTTTAGAAATGCATATGTAATAATCCATTCAGGAAGGTTGGCACCAGGAAGCTAAGAAGCTGATGAGATTAGGAAGACAAAGATCCCTAGAATCAACAACCCCTCACACCAAAAAAATCCAACACAGGATATAGTCATCAGCCACAGCGCCAGGGAAGCAGGATATGACCTTTGGGACATAATAGGATTAACCCATCATCATCAGAATACTAGAAAGGCAGACTAAGGTCAAAGTTCATACCACAGGAACAATTCCAAACAAAAGCTTAAGAAGGTATAAAAACCCACCACTCCCTACTACATGTGGTCAGCTTTCCCAGAGCCATCTTTTTGTCTGGCTCTGCTCTTCAATAAACTACAACCTTTCTGAAGCAGTCTCCATTTTGTTTATTCCCAGCTTGGACTAGATCCTGATGAAGATTTTCTTTCAACGCTATATTTTTGATGCAGATTGTTTTGTTGGTTATGTCATAAATAGGGAGGATAGAAGAGTTTTTGAAGATCCAGAAGTCTCTTGATGAAATGTATCCTCAAACCCTGTCTATCACCTTCTTTTCTATCCTCTATTTTGGTATGAAAAATATGAAAATGAGCACACATGTAGGATTCAAGATAAGCCAATTTTCATTTTCAGTCCAGTTTTGGCATGCTGAATTCTGTTTCTTCTTCACATTTCTTAGACTTACCTAAAGGACCTCAATTAGCAAATGAAGTGAATACCCATGCTTGTACCGGTAGTATACTATATAAGATTATTTTCTAATTTGTATATCACTCTCTACGTTTCACACTATTAGTATTAAAATATAGAGCTAAAACAGCCAATGCAGTTCAGAAGACATAAGGCCATTATAGATCACAAGGCATGCATTTGTTATGTCTAAGCTCTGAGAATGGTTTCCTTACTTAGTCACATACATGTTTATGGACAATATAATGTTGCATGGATTTTTTTGGATTTTTGGATTTTTACTCAATAGTAAAAGTTCTCTATCTCCCCCATTTACCAGTAAATATACAGAGCACAGCAAATATAAATTTTCTCAAGAGATCACAGCTCACATGAAAGACCTTTACAACTCAGCAATGTATTTTACAATAAAATAGTAAACATATAGTAGAACATGCTGAAACTCAAAATGATACTGCACAGATATTTTTGGAATCTAAAACAAGATTTCTAATTAACTTTGATCAATTGTTTTTCCTTTCTGCCCTTAATGTTGGAAAGAAATTGTGTAAAAGGAACTTGGAATTGTCTGTCTCTCAGGAGAACTATCCAAAATCTTAACTGAACAGGATCACGTTTGGAATGGGGGAGAAAAGAGGAGAAAAGAAAGGCGGAGTTATAGAAAACGAACCAGATCAGGCCGGAAACTGGAGGAAAAACCAAAACAAAAAACAAAGCATCCAAATGGGTGAAGCAGCTGGTCAACTCCCTCTTCTATCACAGTCATGTGATTCAGATCAGAGTAGTACTACGGCATATAGCAGTCGGTCCGCGTTGCGCAGGGCACACAAAGACACAACACAATGGGAGAGCGTAAACGGAAGCAAATTCATAACCTCACCCCTATGTGAAATCGCCCTTTAAAAAAAACAGAACCCCGGATAGGCTGATTCTATGCAACACTGGCATTTGTAGTATGACTACAAGCATGCTTACTCACTAGTTAAGTTTTACTATCAAGGCTTCACACACACACACACACACACAACATTGTGCACAGTATTGCAACACACACACACACACACACACAACATTGTGCACAGTATTGCAGACGGCAGCTCTTATTCTTCCTCTGGTCTCTTTGGAAGCCAATAAAGTAACAAAGGATACACTCTATAAATGTTCCGTGCCTCGCCTTTTATTAAGCGATCGTGCAACTTGTCCTTTCTTAGTGCCTCAGCTGTCAAGCTAAACCCTGCAGCGAATCTTTTCACTTTATGCCGCCTTTGAGCATAAGCAGAGGTTTTTCCCCACTGTTAACGGTTATAAAACTACTACTGCGCATATTTGAGGGAAGGTAGGAGATGCCATTTCGAGGCACTGTCGACCCCGAGTAGCCTTTTATATTTACCTACCGATTCCCCCAAGCGCGTGCTGCAACCACAAAACGGGTGCGCGCTCCTGGGCGGCCGCCCCTCCCCGCAGCCACGAGTGTTCTCCCTTCTGTGCGCCTAACTATTATGTTACTCCATGAGCGAGCGAGTGTGTGTGTGCGTGTGTATATGCGTGTGTCTGTCAGGTGACTTGGGTCACGCAGTTTCTCTCCTCTGGGAGGGACTGCGAGGCCTTGGCTGACTTTCCTTTGACAACTGCGACGAGGAGGAAGAAAAAAAGGGAAGGAAGGAAACAATTTAGGCTCCAGTCCCCCCACCCCCCGAGAGGCAACCTGGAAGGCCGCGGGGAAAGCGGTGCTTGGCGAGGACGAAGCCCGGGTGGGATCAGGATGAACGAGGCGCCGGGGAAGTTGAAGGAGCAGCAGGAGAACGAAGGAGCGGAGGAGGAAAAAGAGGAGGAGGAGGGGGAAAAAGACGAGGAAGAAGAGGAGGAGGAGGAAGAAGAGGACGAGATTGTTGGGCTAGCAGACTATGGGGATGAGAGTGAGTCTTTCTCGGATGGCGACCACGAGAAAAGCGGGGACGGGGCGTGTAAGTAGTTCCTGCGGTTGCCACGGAGGGAGGACGAAGGAAGAGCGAGCAGCCTGTTCTGGCGACTTTGCTGCCAGGCCCTTTGTTTGGGGAGGGAAGGAGGGCAGACGCCCAGGAGGCGGCAGGCGGGAGCTGCGCCCCTTGCAGAGGGCGACCGAGAGAGGAGGATGGGGCAGCGGGGATCGAGTAAGGCTGGGGGTGGCTGGGCTCCTCCCATCCGCGAAATACTTGATTCCGGGGTGGGTGGGAACTGTACCCTACCATTTGCCCCCTTTCTTTTATTCGTGGTTAACCGAATCGCGGGTGGGTCAGATTACCCAAGTCATTGTCTGCATTCTTCCTATGAGGTTAAGCTAACTCGCTGCTCTCCTTTACAGTTCAGTGTGCCGTGTGAACGCAGCCTTTCTGTGGGGAAAGAGGGTGGGGGGAAAGAATCGGGGAATCAGCTGGCTTGAAGGGAAAAGCAAAGATGGTTCCCTTCCATCCCACCACTGATGGCAGCATTCAAGAGTCATTAGAGACTAGTCCTTAAATCTGATTTCACCACAGGCCATGAGATATAATGCCTCAAAAAGCTGAGGACAAACAGCTAAAGGTAGAGGGTGCAAGATACTTATTTTTAAAATTAAATTTGTATTCACCTTTCATTCAGGAACTTGCTCTGCCTAGTTTTCCCTACAACAGACCTTTAAGCCTTAGTCTTAGGTGCAGCCTTTCCTGTTATAGCTATGATTTTATATATATATATACATATATACACACACACATACACACACACACACACACACCAGAATCTGTAAGGACAAAAACTGGGCTCCCTATTTTTGCAAATTGGAAGTTGGTGTGGTTTTACAGGAAAAAAAATAGTGCCATGAATTTAGGATGTTTAAGGATTCCTTTAAATAAGGGAGCCTCTTGGCCAAAACAGACCCTGGTTTTACCCTCTTTTAAGAGAAAGTATGTGCCTTTGCCAGTATAGTGGAACCCTTTCTTACATCTAAACGAAATGAGGTGTAAGTGGGGGGTTCATCTTCGACCCACAAAGTGGAGAACAAACTCAGTTTTCCATCTCTGTTTCTTAGAAATTTTTCCCACAATCCAAGCTGCTCCTTTTCTTTCCTGTTACTGCTGTAGAGAAGAGAAGGGATAGGACAGGGATGGCGAACCTTTTAGAGGCCGAGTGCCCAAACTGCAACCCCAAACCCAGTTATTTATCGCTCGGTGCCAGGTGGGCGTGGCCCACTGGGTGGGCATGGCTGTGGTGGTCATGGCAGATGGTGTGGCCAAGGTGGGCATGGTCACCTTGATGTTGCTTGTGGGGAGGGATGCCTGTGGGGGGCGGGTAGGGTTGGGGGAGATCCAGGACATCTCTGGCAGGTGGGGTGGGGGGCAGTAGGCTTGTCCTGCAGGGTGAAGCGAGGCAAGGTGAGGCAGGGCGGGGGTGCCATTGTCGCAGGGCACGGTGAGGCAGGGGCCAGGGCGGCTGCTGCCTGACACCATCAGCCCCTGTACACAGAGGCCAGCGAGCGCATTGGGGCAACAGTGTCCATCAGCAGCCACAGCCTGCCGGTCCCTCAACCGACACATTCTGGGGCTCCGCAGCCCGCTGTTAGCAGTTCAGAGAAGCTGCCTCTGAGCTGGACGGCTGGCCGACAGCTGAGGAGGCGATGCAGTGGGTCGTGCCCGGGAAAAGGAGAGCATGTGAGGCCAGGAGGGATGGCCATGTAGGACCTCAGCGAGTTAGCAGGTGGTTGGTTGAAGAGGGACGGTTGCTATCTGTGGGGCATGGCACGCGTGCCCACAGAGAGGGCTCTGAGTGCCGTCTCTGGCACGCGTGCCATAGGTTTGCCACCACTGGGATAGGAGATGCAATAAAACACACAATTGTTCCTAGTTTGGGATTTTAAGAAGAAATGGAAAAAGAAATTGCTTCCCATCATTCATTTTCTTGGCCCTCTTTTCTTGAGCTTTGCTGGCCACTCAGTATGGTTTTGCCAGGGCTGCCAAATCTGGACAGCAGAAATCCGAAGATTTTTCCTTAGTAATTCTGCTCCTTAATAGGGAACTTAATATTTTTCTCATGGCCACAAACTCTGGCAACATGAGCGGAGAAAGGAAAATTTTGATGAGGAACCAAGGTTTGGGAGCAAGGAGATAGGACTTGGGATAGGGAAGCAATTGAATGAGGATGCTGTAAAGCGAAATTTAAATGTGTGCTGAGCAAAAATAAAAATTAGTATTAAGTGAGGGAAGAAGGTGAAAGGGTGGAATAAATGAAAAGCCTGAAAATAGAGGTCATTTAGGAGCAGGTTTTTGAAAATTGGCAGGGAATTTAATAACTGAATAGAGTTTGACTTTGAGCTGGGATAGCTTATAGTTGGCCTTTAATAGGAGAATAGAATGATGCTAAGATTAAAATGGGTTGGAGAGCAGGCAAGATTTCCCTAACTACCAGTATGTGAGTGTACTAGACTGAAACATATATTTGTGTCATGCATTGTGATGATTTACAGAGAATGTAGGATGTGTTCTAAATTTTTAATTGGGCCTGATATTGGGACTGGATTTTTTTTTTAGCAAATGTGCTTTTACTCTTATTCTTTGCAGAATATCAGAGCAGAGACACTTTGCAAATATTAGCAAGCTACATTTTACAAAAATCTTGGAATTGTGGTTAATATTGTAGGTGGGATATTAAGGCTGGAGGCTGAGAATGTATGCATTTGCCCCAGTGAGCTAAGATTTAGTAATTTTCCAAGTTCAACTCAAACTCTTTGATTCAATTATTTCACCGGCTGTAAAAGTAGTTAATATTGAGATGGGTGTAAAATAATAAAAGTAAATGCTGTAATTCTTGTTCTCTATCTATATTTTAGAAGTAAGAACAACAAGCACACAATTGTACAGGATTTAAGTCTGAATAGGCGGCTAACTCAATTTCCACATACACACGAATATCCCAAATCTGCAAGGTGATTTATAAAGAAATGGCCTTTTACATTTCTACAACACACAATACCTATATATTTGTTTACATATACATCTCACAATTAAAAAGGTATATTTACACAAGATCCCATCTTTCATTTAAAAAAGAAATTCAAAATACTTGTGCTCCCATAATGCTTATAAATAAAGATGGATACTATAGGCAGCTAATGCTCTGAAAGGTGAGATCTTTCAAAGATTACACTCTCAGTTTTCTGTTTCCCTCTGCTTTGAGAGAGCATTCACTGAGGGTTTGAAGAGGGAACATATAGATCGCAAGTATTGTCTGTTGTGCCTGTGTTTTGTGGGAAAGAACAGGAAGAGAAGGGGGAAGGAAGAGGGAAAGAAATGTGCATGTGACTGACAACAGTAATGAGAAGTCCTAGCATTAGTATGGAATTCATAGATTGGTGATCACTCGGTTTGTTACATGGATCTTTTTTGTGTTTGTCATATGCAAAAAGAAAAGGCTTAGTTAAAGGATTGAGAGCTTAATACAACTTGGAGAAAACATATAAGCAAGCTTTTAAAATTGTGCAGTGGTGCAGGTATTCAGTGTGCAGGCAGAGTGCATGGATCAGAAAGACATGAAGTTTTAAGGAAGGCTGATTTCAGATCCATAAAAGGCAAGAACCATAGAAGGGCTCAGAATTCCTCTGCAGCTGTGAATGTCAATCTCCAAGCACTCCAGACAGTTGTCCTGTTGGTTTTGTGTGGTGGTTTGTTTGTTTTTTAAATAAAACCAGCACATTGGAATGATGGCACTCAACATATACTTATGTAGGTACTTTTACAGAGAATTTTTTTTTTGTAAATGGATCAGCAGAGCTAAACTTTTAGGCTTTAAACAGAAAATAGTTTTACAACACTTTCAGGAACACGTGGAATATTTTCCTTTTAGTCTAAATTCTCTTTTCCTTTGTTGAGAATAGAAGAACTGCTTCAAATGTTAGCTTTCGTGCAGTGTAGCCTTAAATATTATGGTTTGTATGTATGTTCTGATATGAATGCATAGAGAGAATTTTTTCTCTCTTGTTTCAGAGAGGCTGTGTTAAGTAACATAGTTGACATGCAGTAGATACTCAAGCAAAAATTGTTTTTAATCAGAGGAGCACTTGAACATAAATATTTTGAGTATACATGCCACAGAAATGGGTTTTCTGTGTTCTTTTCCACGTTCTTCATCAGATGAATTCCTATGATTCAGTGTTACCTAAAGTTTCTAAAGGGAGCATTGGTAAGTTCGCTTCCATGAGTTATACATTAAAAAAAAACCAAGGAGGGACAGAAATATATATATTCCTACACACACACACACACACACACACACACACACACACAAAAACTTAGCTATAAACTTTAATTGATCTCATTAAAGTTTGCAGATCTGTAAGATAGGAACACGGTAAGGCATGTGTTGTATGGAGTTCTAATTAATCTGCATTTATTTCCACACTTTGGTTTATTTTGTGAGAGATGTGAGTTTTTTCAAACTAGCAGGGAGAGACAGAAAAACAGCTGGAAAAATACTATTTAAAGATAAATATCGATCATTTCAAATTAAGCTGCTCTTTTTGGCACCAGAAAAGAAAGACTCCTTACATTGCAAAGAAGAGTTAAAATAACAAATTTAAATTGCATTCAGGCTCAGTTATAAGATATAGTTTTGTGCATTAGGGATAGTATAAACTAAAAGAAATCTGTTTTTATTCGGTTCTAGATTTCAGTGATCCTTTTAGTACTGAAGTTAAGCCAAGAATCCTCCTCATGGGACTGAGAAGAAGTGGAAAATCTTCCATTCAGAAAGTTGTTTTTCATAAAATGTCACCAAATGAAACTCTTTTTTTGGAGAGCACTAACAAGATTTGCCGAGAAGATGTTTCCAACAGCTCCTTTGTTAACTTTCAGATATGGGACTTTCCCGGCCAAATTGATTTTTTTGATCCTACGTTTGACTATGAAATGATTTTTCGTGGCACTGGAGCATTGATATTTGTGATTGATTCTCAGGTAAGAAGAAGATGATGTTAGACCAGTTTGACTTTTAAATCATCCTCAAACCTTGAATTTGCACAAATGAACACCACTTGACAGTAGAGGAATAGAATAGATGATGGAAAGCTAAGTAGAATGTGACTCTCTAGAGCAGTGTTTCTCAACCTTGACAATTTTAAGGCATGTGGACTTCAACTCCCAGAATTCCACAGCCAGCATTGCTGGCTGTGGAATTCTGGGAGTTGAAGTCCACATGCTTTAAAATTGTCAAGGTTGAGAAACACTGCTCTAGAGAACTGCAAGCAAAGTTTCCTTTTACAACAAGACTCTTTTTCCATAGCCTGGATTCTCACTGCAGTACAGTCCACCTTTTTAACCCCTTTTCTTAAATGTTATTGGAACTGAGAAATGCAGTGAGATCTGCAACTGTTACAATTGTAGAGAAACCAGAATTCTCATCCTCATGTGAAGAATAAGTCTTTTATCATAAAAGGGACTCATTTGGATTTTGCTGTATATTCTGTTTTTATTTAGATATTACTGCACAAATATCTTTGATCAGTGCTTTTTTTGTAAAAAAAAAAAAAAAAAAAAAAGGTGCCGGAATTCACACATGTCATACAACTCGCCTTGCCTACCCTATAAGGTTCCATCCAAAAAAGGTGCCGGAACTCCATTCTGGGTGTTCTATGACAAAAAAAAAAGCCCTGCCTTTGATTGCTTGCACTTCTGCTTTCATCTATGTAATCCTTCAATGTAATCAACTTTTTGCAGTTTCTAAAGTTACCTATTTCCTGCAATAAACATAGAAATGATTACAGCTAGTCTCAGCTTATAACCACAATTGGGACAGAATTTCCCCTAGTAAACAATGACACTGAAAAGATGTGTCTTATGACCAGTCCTCATATTGTCCATTGCAACATCCCCATAATCACATGATCAAATTCCAGCATGTATTTATGTCCCAGGATCATATGATCATCATTTGTGATCTTCCTATTGGCTTCAAACAAAGTCAATGCGGGAAGCTGGATTGAATAACCACACAACTCACTTAATAACTGCAATGATTTACTTGACAACCTTGGCAAAAAGTCATAACATCGAGTGTGATTCACAACTACCTTGCTTAGCAAGCAAAATTCTGCTCCCAAATGTGGCTGTAAACTGAGGACTATAAGTACATATAATCCATAATTATGGATTAAGGTTTGTGCTGGTGTGGTATAGTGCCTAAGGTCATCCAAATTCAGATCCACTCTCAGCTCCTCAACTACTCTCACACAGTGTGCCCAACTTTACAGATTATTTTTGTGGAGAAAAAATAGAGAAAGGAGTGCTAAGTATATCAGCTCAAGTATTTTGAGGAAAGGTATGATATAAGTGTAACAAATATATACAGTATATAATGAGAAATCAACATGTCAGGTTAAGGAACTGTTTAAATAAGGGAAATGAGGAAGGTTAAAGCTTTTGGTAATTATAAGTGATGATATCTATGTATTATCCCCAATGTCAAGTGCGGGGTATCTTAGCAACAGCTGCAAGAGAATAATAGCATGAGTGTTGGCCAATGTGGAAATAGAATACTGGATTAGGTAGTCTTAAGGTGCTTGTAGTCTTTAAATAGAAGAGAGAGAATTAATGATTAACAACTCATTGAAATATTCTTTTACTTTTTTTATTAATGAAATACTATTTTAATGGAATGAGAGTTTCATATAATGCTTTTTGAGTAAAAAGAATTCAGGCTGAAATTTTAAGTCATGTGTTTTATCCAATTCTTTTTTTAGGATGACTATATGGAAGCATTAGCTAGATTGCACCTTACTGTGACAAGAGCATATAAAGTGAATCCAGATATAAACTTTGAAATATTTATTCACAAAGTAGACGGTTTGTCTGATGATCACAAGATTGAAACACAAAGAGACATTCATCAGCGGGCTAATGATGATCTTGCAGATGCTGGACTAGAAAAAATCCACTTGAGGTGAGAAAAATACAGTGACTGGAGTTTGCTGGGAAGAAAAAGGAAACTACAAGTAACATTAAAAGAAGTGCTATAGTGTCAAACTTGATAAAAGTCTTAGTAAGCTTATTTTTATAGTATTTATTACTAAATATAATAAATGTTTGCAGGCTTAAAACATTAAAATTAGGTTTTTTTTTTAAATAGATGGAGGCAAGTATTCCAGTCATTCTCAGTCAATATATTATTGATTCCCAGTTGTATACTTCTATTGAGAATCACTTTGGGGAAGAAGGCTGTGCTAGAATGATACATTTTACTAGCCTCAAAGTGATGCTCCAATATAGTTGGAAAAAACTATATTGAGAATGTATGTATGTAAAGATAAAGGAGTTCCTGCGGATTTTACTCCACTAGACATTGCTGACTTTAGGGGGCGATGCTCATCTCCGTTTCAAAGCCACTGAGCCAGCACTGTCCAAAGACATTTCCGTGGTGATGTGGCCAGCATGACGTCACAGAGTGTTGTTACCTTCCCACCGAAGTGCTTTCAAACTGCTAAATTGGCAGGAGCTGGGACAAGTAACTTGGAGCTCATTCCGGCGCACAGCACTTGGGTCTTGAACCCAGGCTGCCATATAAATAAAACTTAAGACCAGTCCTCAAAGGTTGCAGGTGTTGCAGTGTCCCTCTAGTCATGTCGCAATTTGGGTGCTTGGCAATCAGCTTGCAGTTACAACGGTCGCCCTTTGCAATCTTCAGCTTCCGACAAGCAAAGTCAATGGGGAAGCCAGCAGGATGTTGCAAATAGCAATCATGTAATATCACACTGATGTTCCGTAATATCACACTGCTGTCATAAAATCAACATGGTCCTGTGACATTGTGTGTTACAACTGCATTGGTTAGCTAATGAGTTACCAGTCCCAGTTATTGTTAACAAAGGACTCCAGGTGGTCCTTGACATATGACTGTAATGTATCCTGCCCATTACAGTTATATATTATAATGGGTTGACATTTTTGTGGTGGTTGTTAAGTGAATATGGTGGATGTAAGTGCAATTGCTGTGATTGTTAAGTGAACCCATTGTTCACTATGGTGTGGTTTGGCCTAAAACTTGAAATAAGTTCCAGTTTTTGGCAAAACCATCATAAGGCATGGTCACATGACCGCAGGATGTGCAAATGTAAGCCATGTTGCCAAGTGTCTGAAGTGCAGTCATGTGACCACAGGGAGGGCCCAACTGTCAGAAATTTGGATTGGGTCATAAATTCTCCTTTTTAGGTAGGCTGTAACTCTGAACAGTCATTAAATGACCAGTCATAAGTCAAAGTCTACTTGTACCTGTATTTCATTATAGAAACATCACTTCTATAAAACTAATTAGGCAGTACATGAACCATGTTACCATTAGTCCACTATCTGGTGAAAATAAATTCCTTGAAAATTGTGAGATCAAGTCACAATTTCAAGAGATATTTTTAATCCAATGCTCTGTTTTTTTGCCCTTCAATCAGTTTCTACTTTGCTTTCCATCAATACATTCTGCATGGCTTATAAAACAAGCCGTATAGAATATTGTGTTATTTTTTTTCAGCATCTTTTTATATTTGTAATCAAACTCTTCACAGGTGTTTACTTCAAATGAATATATTGATTATTTTTCTTTTTCCAGCTTTTATTTGACAAGTATATACGATCATTCTATATTTGAAGCATTCAGCAAAGTGGTTCAGAAATTAATTCCACAGCTCCCAACTTTGGAAAATCTGCTTAACATTTTTGTCTCGGTAAATATGTTTGTATGTGCATGTATTTCCTATGTTTTTCATGTTCATTGCAGAAGCACATTTTATTTTTTTAACATTTTGAAAATTATTGCTGTTATTTAAGTCATTATGAGATTCTGTATGAAACACCAAAAGTGCTGTGCAATCCAGCATTCATTATTTTACTAAATATGCAGTGTTTATAAAATAATGATAGCTTACAACCTGGGATCCGAAGACCACTTATTATTCACTAGTTCCTGCCTTGAATGGATGGGTGGTTTTGTTGTGCGTTTAGTCATACAATTTATATTGATGCCCACCACACCAAAATGATTCTAGGTGGCACACAAGCTTAAAACCAAAACAATAATGCATATGCTATTACAATCACTGAAACAATAACTAGACAACTAGTCAGTGGGGCTCACTTAATTTCCCAGACAAATGCCTGTAAGAACAGATCTGTCAGATCTGGATTTGTATGGGAATGCTGTTCCAGAAAACAAAAGAGGCAACAGAGAAGGTATGATTCCTAATTGCCACAAAGTGACATTTTTTTAATAGATGTATATGAATGCTGCCAGTTCTGGTGGTGTGGGATGTACAGTACAGATAGTCCCTGATTTACGACCATAGTTGAACTCAAAATTTATGTTGCTAAAGGTTGCAAAAGGAGATCACATGACTCCGGGATACTGTAACCATCATAAATACGAGTCAGTTGCCAAACATCTAAATTTTGATCATGTGACCACTGGGATGCTGCAATGGTCATAAGTGTGAAAAATGATCACATGCTACTTTTATCAGTGGCATTGTAACTTTGAACGGTCACTAAATGAACTGTTGTGAGGACTACCTGTATATAACAATAATCCAGTGGGAGGAGACTGAGATATTTATCACCATGACTGATCCAGGAAGAATTGGTGCCCAAAACAAATCTGTGCAAAGATGACTGCCATCTGTTCAGGAGGATTCCCAAAATACAAACCAGTTTTCTCTGGCGCAGTGGTTCTCAACCTTTTTAATGCCACGACCCCCAACCAGTTGTAAGTCGAGGACTACTCAACCGGTCGTAAGTCGAGGACTACTCAACTGGTGCAGCACCGTTTGCAGAATGGGACTTTTGGCGGGCTCAGCAGGGCAGAGACAGCCTGGACAATTCCTATTGGCTTTTGAAAGCCAATAGAATTAGACTCTATTCAAGAGAGTCTATTCTATTGGCTTTCAAAAGCCAATAGAATAAAAGGGAGTAGCACAGCTAAGGAAAAGGGGGAAAAAATGGTGGACTGCGTTGTTTGGCGACCCCCGTGAAATGGTCGTTCGACCCCAAATGGGGTCCCGACCCACAGGTTGAGAACCACTGCTCTGGGGAAACAAAGTGCATTCCAAGACAGGGATGGAAAATCTTCAGAAGTGGAAGGATCTCAAAATTCACTATTACTTAGTTTTGCCAGAGTTCAGCTGAAGCCTGTTCTTTCCTCATTCAGACCCCCACAGCTTCCAGATGTCAGGAAAGAATCTCGATTGCATGACTCTGTTGGCCTGGGGTGGAGAGGTGTAATTGAGCTTCACAAGTCACAAAGATGTGCTGGCAGATAACCTCCCTAGCAGCTTCATATAGATCAGTGGTGGCGAACCTATGGCACGGGTGCCAGAGGCGGCACTCAGGGCCTTCTCTGTGGGCACACGCGCTGTCGCCCCAGTCTTAGGCCTTCAGCTGGGTTTTATAAAACCTTTTCGCTTTAGGCCTCCGCCGCCATGTACAAAAAAAAAAAGGTTCAATCAATCAGTCAATTTCAACTTCTCGCAGGAAAAAAAAGATCTTGCAAAGTTGGAATTGATTGATCGATTGAACTTTTTAGTCCCACCCAGTCTGCCATTACCACTGCAGCCATACCCACCCAATGAGCCACGCCCACCCAATGGGCCACACTCACCCGGCACTCGACGATGCATAAGTGGGTTTTGGGTTGCAGTTTGGGCACTCAGTATCTAAAAGGTTCGCCATCACTGATATAAGTTCAAAATAGAAGTGGTAAGAGATTAAAGCTCAAAGGAACTCGCAAAGCAGGGGCCTTTGGGCCAGTCTTTCTCTAATACTAACCAGAGCCAGCTCTGGACAGAGCACCATGGGAATTATTATATTCACTCTCAGTCCCCTAATCCAGTCCAGAAAGATACCATTAACAATGATATCAAAGGTTGCTAAGAGATCAAAGAAGGTCAGGATGGTGTAGTACACCCATTCTGATCCCACCAAAGGCCATCAAGAAGAGCAACTAGTGCCATCTCATGGTTACAACCGAGTCATGAATATTGACAGAAAACAGCCCAAATAATCCTAGAGTTGTAGGAAAGTTATTTCTATTGTGCAACGTATTGTTTTATAATTATTATTTAAATGTATATCCTGACTTTTAGCATCTCTGGCCACCTATATTATACGGTATTATATAATATGGAGAAAATGAGTGTGAGAGAGAAGATGATTGGCAGACATAGATGGATGGAAGATATATATGAAGGATGGATGGATTATTGTGTTTGTGTGTGTATATATAATTGTGTGTGTGCATTATGTGCAGGATAGTATGCATTATACAAATATTAAATTCCTTGTAACAAAATCCATGTTCCCTTGTAGAATTCTGGAATTGAGAAGGCATTTCTCTTTGATGTAGTAAGTAAAATTTATATTGCAACTGATAGTACCCCTGTGGACATGCAAACTTATGAGCTCAGCTGTGATATGATAGATGTTGTCATTGACATCTCCTCCATCTATGGGTAAGTTGGAGTGTTTTTGCTATCCTTTGTGCTTGTTTGCAGTTAATGTACTGTATAATCGTCACATGGCAATGCATTTGTAATGAAAAACCTTACATTTGCCTGTATAATAATATGCTATTTGGTCTTTGTCAAAGTTGGGAAAAATAGCTCAAGTTATTTTGAAAATACCAATGAGAATCAAGCAGTCATATTGTGTGCTTTAAGTACACATACTTATAGACACACAAACATAAGGATTATGGTGATCTTACAATGAATTTTGAAGTGCACTGCCTGGGGTGGGAAGAGTTGGGGTGACAGGGAGAAAACTTAATAAAGAAGACGATATGAGAATAAGGGTACATTATTTCCCAATAATTTATCCTTAAAACAGAAGAATAGTTTTAGATGTGATGAGAATCTGATAATGAAGGGAGAGGGGATTGCTTAATTTCTGAACTTTTTTTTTTTTAAGGAGAGAGTTTAAATTCAGGATGATTTTTCTTTTGGGTAGATATGACGCTTGATTTTTTTAGATAGTTTATTTGGTTATACAAGAGGAATTGGGGAACAATACTGTGGTAAGTCATATGTTCAGAAAACCTCTGTATAGTTAATAGATTATTTGATGTTAAAAAGGAATTTCTAAAAAATATAAATGAATTGTAGCTCTCCATTGGTAGCAGAGAGAAGGTTTTTCTGCTTTTTGTTATTATTTTGTATTTCTCAGAACATCCCTGAAGTATAAGAAACTAATTTTGGGGTCTAAATAGATATATAGTTTGATGTTATTATCAAATTATCTTAGTCAAGTGGAGGTCGAAGTATTTCTTTGACCAAGAAGATTTATAAGCAGATCTAAATCAGCTCCTGTACTTCACACTTACTTTGCAATAGTGTATTCTGTTTGTGGCTTCCTTTACACATAGTTCAGCAGTTGCAATGGTGCCCCCTGGAGCAGTAAAAGTAGAACATCTAGCAAAGCAATTTGATTGATTGTTAATTAGCTATTCAACCAAATTCAGCATTTTTGTTTAGTTTTGTTTTGTGAAATATGAAATCTAAATGATTTTTAATAAAAGAAGACCTTCTGTCTTTATACCACCATAGATTTCGATGATTACTAAAATCATTCAAGAAAATCTGCAAGTGCAGATTGTAGTTTGTTGCAAGTAAGCTATCTCTGCAATAAAATATAAAAGGTTGCTCTCTGTAGTATTTGAAAGGTCCCACTCTTAAAACTTTCAGGCACTTGTTAAACTGCCATCTCTTCATCCAACACATTTTGGTTTGAATGTTTCTTCATTCTTCTTCCAACTTTTAAGATGTATTTCATATATGTCACGTTTTAATTATATTCAGTCTGTTAACTATATATAAATAGATTAAAGGAGAACTGCTCCCATTTTATATACTGTATATTTATTATTGTAGATTAATTTTAATGTTTTCTTCTACTATTTTGTATTCTGTATATTTTCACTTCTTAGTTCATGGTCTTAGTATTAATATTAAGATTTTTTTGTGGATCTTAAAAAGTTAACATTATAGCACTATATTAGTAATGTTTTTATGTATCATATAGTTCCATTGTTATGCTTAATATGAATACTTTTAATTTATTGTGATTATGTTTACCAGTACTATCACATCTGTTTTCTAATTCAGTAGATTATATTTGGATATATTCTTAAGCACATAATATGTCATTTAACTTTAAATAATGTAAGAAGAATACAGCCTCTGGAGTCTAAAAAATTAATCCCAACTCTCTTTTTTCACAATCCTTTGCTAATAAGGCTCAAAAAAGATGGTGCCGGAACACCCTATGATAAAGAATCAACAGCAATTATAAAATTGAACAATGCCACAGTCCTTTACCTAAAAGAAGTGACAAAGTTCCTTGCACTAGTCTGCTTTGTCAGAGAAGAAAGCTTTGAGAGAAAAGGTATTCAACTTCTTTGCCTAAACATATCTATAATCTTATTTTCCTTTGTAAGAAAATGTTTCCCTGTCTTGATCGTAGTTGAACACAATGTTTCTCAACCTTGGCAACCTTAAAATACATCGACTTCAACTCCCACAGCTCCCCAGCTAGCATGCTTCCAGCCAGTATCCCATCAAAATCGAAATACCAAAAAATGTGTAACTATTTAGTAAATGTAAGAATTGAGATACTATTGGGAATGGGGTGAAGAATGGGATAAATTTCAGCGTTCTATGTTAGAATGACTGGATTGTGACAGTGTATTTTGCTATGTACGGTAACTAAAAGGATAAAAACGAATGTAGTACGCCTCTATGTAGATTCTGTAAATAGAGGTGAGGCAAATGATGAAAATTTAGATTTAATAAACATTTTCTATAACAAAATAATTTATTAAATTGATGTTTTACTATATAGCAGGGGTCTTGAAACTTGGCCCTTTTATGATTTGTGGACTTAAACTCCCAGAATTCCTCAGCCAGCAATTCCCAAATGAACACAAGAAATCAAAATATTCTGAATGAAATTATATTTCTTATATTTTCTTTCTGTGGTTTAGTTTAAGGTTTAAGGTATTAGCTGGGACAGGAGAAAACCAGCTTTAGGTCCATTCATACTCATGGAAATTAATTGGTGACTTTGGGCCAGTTACACATTTTCAGCCCAATGTATTTATTGTTAAGGGGGAAATTGGAAGAGAGAATGCAACATCCATTGCTTTGAGCTTGTGGAGGATTTCTGAGCTAGAAATCTATTTGATTAATAAGTACATTAATAAATAGTTTATCCTTTTTATTGGCCAGTGAACAGAAAATCACATTAATGCATACTTATTTTAGAACAGGGAATCGTAATGCAGGTTTTAGTAAACTCTTATACTTACAAGAAGTTTCAAAATTACCCAGGAGTCTGTTCTTGAAAGGGAAAAATACCACTGGATATGCCTAAAGTACCTTTTGGGATTCTTTTCAAAGGTTTTTTTTTTTTCTTTCTTTCCTTGTTTCCTTTCCCCAAAGCTTCTGGAAAATACTTTCTTAATTTAAAAAAAATCTCCTTCTCTTTCTCTATATGCATCATACATACTTTAAATCATGAGCCCAGGATATATATTTTTTTCTTTTGGTAAATAAATAATGGCGGTACTGTCTGGTGATTAAAACTAAGCTAAAGCCCATTGAAACAAAGCTAAAGTAGTGGGTGGGTAAATTTGTTGTGAACTTTCAGGTTTTAAGGTTGTTTTTAATCAGGCAACCTGAATAGAGAAAAAAGGAAGGGGAATGATGGTTGCGCTATGGGAAATAATATTTACTTTGGGCAGGAGCTCAAAGGAGCAAAACAAAAACAGTAGAATAATAATAACATAATAAACAAAAATAGTTGCTCCATTCTCCAAGCTAAAAAGCACCCCTGAACAAGACCATTTTCAGACCTTAGGAAATGCAAGGAGGGAAAGAGCTAGACATGTGTCTGTGACAAGATTATTCCAAAGTCTGAAAACTAGCATTGAAAAAGCTACTCTGTGGCCCTACATCTCATGAATCTTTGGAGGAGGGTGAGACCTTCAGCACGTCTCCTCTTGGTTTTCAGACTGAACAAACCGATTCACATGTGTTTTGTTTTTCCTTAGGACTAATAGACTACAACTTCCACTGCTTCCGCAAGGCCATACATGAAGTGTTTGAAGTGAGAATGAAAGTAGTCAAAGCACAAAAGAATCAGAACCAAGTACAAAAGAATAAAAGGGCCACACATAATGGCACACCTAGAATGCCACTGTAATTGAACTCCGATGCCCACGGGTAGCACCTAAGGCTTATTATGTGCTGTAATGGTACCAGCTTTGAGAACCAGCAGACAAACGGGACTGGTGTACACTTCACTTGGAATTTTCCACACTAGCCACTCCTCAAAACACTGTAAATCATTTTCTGTGTTCATGTTAAGGACAGACCTGTTCTGCACTTTTGCCTGATTTCATGATGAAAATGGACTTTTGATAAATTACTTTTTATGTATAGTCTTGAGTAGAATATATATCATAGTAAGCGTACATGCTGCACACAAATGAACAATCAAGAAAACATGGTAAGATGACTTTTTTAACAAGTCTGTGAATATCCATTTTCCATTTTGTAAGCTGGAAATTAAAAGTATAGTACAATAGCAATAAAAACATTTATTAGGTGTCCTTACTGGTACACTAAAAAATTTGTTTAAAAAAAGTATTTGAAATTGAGTATCTCCCCAATCATTCCACAAATTCTGAGAAAAATACTCTTTATTCTTTATATTGTCTACATAAAAGTACCTTTCGATAAACAGACTTATTTTGAAATGGATGCATGCTTTGTCTGGTTTGTTTATTTTTACGTTTTTGAGAATGACAGTAGAAAAAAGTACCCTGATTTAACAAAAATGGGAATTACAATAATTTTGTGCAGAAAGGATAAAGCACAAGTATATAATATTTTATTATGGATGACTCCAGAAGAGAAATCTCCAGTCACTTTTAAATCTAAGGCTGAGTGACATTGTTTACTCCTAAGAGTTATATACTAGATAAAGTGTATACCCATGGTGGCGAACCTATGGCACACGTGCCACAGGCAGCACGCAGAGCCCTCTCTGTGGGCACGCATGCCGTCACCCCAGTCCTAGGCCTTCAGCTGGGTTTTATAAAACCTTTTGGCTTTAGGCCTCCACCTCCCTGTGCAAAAATAATAAAAAAAAGGTTCAATCAATCAATTTCAACTACTTGAGGGGAAAAAAAGATCTTGCAAAGTTGGAATTGATTGATTGAACTTTTTAGTCCCACCTAGTCTGCCGTTACCATCGCAGCCGTGCCCACTCAATGGGCCGCGTACGCCCACCCGGCACCCGATGATACATAAGTGGGTTTTGGGTTGCAGTTTGGGCACTCTGTCTCTAAAAGGTTCGCCATCTCTGGTGTATATCAACTGGCAGGAGATCTAGAGCAATCCTGCCTTCAATTGCAAGATCGGTGTGCTAGAAAACTCCCAGTATTTTGTAGAAATACTAATTGGTAATAACCAGCATTGTAAGATTGGAGAGTTGACTTTCTCTTGGAACATTTCTGAGAATTCCAGAAGCTGTTTGCAGTATTCCAAAGATGATGTGTCATGTGAAACATCTTTGCTGGAATACCTGAAACCATTTTCACTTTGGATGTTTTACTCCCGAAAACGACCTATTCACTCCTTGAATAGCATAGTCTAAAGAGACACTGAATATTTTGAACTGATGGATTTTGCATATGCTTGCTACAATTCTGGTAAACAGTAGTACTTCATAATGTTATAAGGATCTGAAGATATGCTTGTTTTGAGTTAAAAAAAATAATGCCTAATCTCAGGATTCTCCCTAGTTTTGCTTATCTTTATGAATATATTCTGTATAACAGACATTTTGTCTGTTTGAAGAGTATATCAATTTCTTCTGATTTTCTTTATGCTAGATACATGATTGGGCAATTAAGGATAGCTTGTTTTTTCCAATTACGAAGTTACAATTGAAAAAGAAGCTTAAAGGAAATCATCATTCTGGAGCCAAAGCTTTGGACAAGCAAGAGATTATTTATTCAGCAATTATGGCACTTTTCTCTTTTGCTCTTGTAAAATTGTTTCTAGTTTTTCCAAAGAGTGGATTTAAAATGTTAGAATAGTATTTGAAATGCTCATGATTATGAACTGAGATGTACATTTAATATTCAATTTTACAATCCTTCTTTCATTATTGATATGTTACAGTCATTGAAAGTGATCCACTAGAGCAGTGGTTCTCAACCTGTGGGTCGGGACCCCATTTGGGGTCGAACGACCATTTCATGGGGGTCTCCAAACAACGCAGTCCACCATTTTTTCCCTCTTTTCCTTAGCTGTGCTACTCCCTTTTATTCTATTGGCTTTTGAATAGAGTCTAATTCTATTGGCTTTCAAAAGCCAATAGGAATTTCCAGGCTGTCTCTGCCCTGCTGAGCCCGCCAAAAGTCCCATTCTGCAAACGGTGCTGCACCAGTTGAGTAGTCCTCGACTTACGAGTGGTTGAGTAGTCCTCGACTTATGACCGGTTGGGGGTCGCGGCATTAAAAAGGTTGAGAACCACTGCACTAGAGACTGCTAACATAGTAAAAAAGTACCTTAACAGTATAATTTCAGGAAAAGACACAAAGTTAGATCATCAGTTATTCAAGTCTCACGTTTTGTAAAGATTCCCCCCCCCCAATTTGCTACTTTTTAAATTCTGGTTTGAATGATTAACTCATTTGAATTATATAAAGATATTTTTCCTCCTTTGGTAGTTATGTGTGTATGCATATGTATGTGCGTACAGGCAAACTTATACAAAAAATTACAGCAACAACTTGCCTAAGAACTGTTGAACAGGGTAAGTATCTCCAAATCTGCTCATCTGAAATAAATCTCAATTCAATGACAAGCCTAACTCATGCATATGTATCTGAAGGTCTCAGTACTACACAGGGTATAGGCCTTTTGGAACGAAGAAGGCAGCAATCTTATCTGCCATTCTCTAATTCAAATTCAGTTCAGCCAAGAGAATAATACTGTACGGTACTTGAATGCTATTTGGGGGTATTCAGGCAGCATTTTAGTGATCTAAACTCCATGTGAGCAGAGAACTGGTACACAATTTGCATATCCCAAAATGAATCTACTTAATTCATTGTAGTCCACAATTCAACAATTACATTTCTAACATTGCCAGAGGGGAGAGCTGTTTCTCTACTTCTAGCAGTGCCTTGCTTCATTCTTATTCATAAGGGAACACATACAAAGGGGGGGGGGGATAGGCCATTTTTGTGTCAACTGTTCTCCATGTATCTGGATTTATTCTATAGTTGTTTGGGGAGCTTTTATTCTACTTCAATCATATGATTCCAAGTGGTGTATAGTTGCATCCCCAATGTCTGTAATGTACAATATTACAGCAAATTCAAGAAATTCTAATCCATAATTGGATTTCATTCTTGAGTTAATGGTGCTATTGCTCATTACAAATGCAACCTTTCCACTGCTCAACTTCTTAAATACTAGGAACGTGCCAGCCTTCTACCTAGTGAATTTTTCACAAATGGGGAGCTTCTATAGAAAAAAAAAATGGTCCTGTCTCTTCCCTTCACACTTCGGAAAGGATAGGGACTCTCAGGAAGCGGGCACACCTTGAGCTTTCAGTTTCAGGATGGAATAAAGGGAAGCAAAGTCCAAGCTACGTTGGATTTTTGAAGATGGCAAGGTAACCAATCTGGAAGCCAACTGCCAAGCAATGCAGCTCTGGTAGTATTGGCGTTGTATGGGATATCACAAATTCTAAGTAAAAAAGCTTGAGCAAAGCACTGTGACATGCTACAGTATGTCTAAAGATAATTGTGTTTGGATTTACACGACAGTAATAAGTCATGGTTTACTAACTGCAATCACTGTACTTGACCAAACACATTATGGTCTAGTAGTTAGTATACGTGTAGATACCTGTTTACTGTTTTGGTTCTGTATGAGGGAAACGAGGAACTAAGCCAAAATACCCGGCTGAGAGAGGCTACACAGTATTCTGTTTCTTTAAAAGTTACATGGAAACCAAATTGAGAAGAAAGACGTTAAGGGCTGCCGCCACGTCAGGAGAATTTCCGGGCGGCTGCCACGGCGGCGGCGGCGACAAAGCTTACGAGACCTCCGGGAAGTGAGGGAGTGGGGAGGGAGCCCGGCTAGTTCCTCCTCTCGCCTGAACGCCGCCGGCGTTGTCACTGCGAAGCGCCTTACGTGGCTGGATTGCTGTGCTCCGCCGGGCGGAGGACGGCATCCCAGGCAGGCTCCATCATGGAGGCTCGCTACAATCTCAAAAGCCCGGGTGAGTAGCCAAGGAAGGGGGGCGAAGGCGGGCAGTTAAGGCAGCAGGCGCCGGGCAGCGCAGAAGTCTTTTGCGGGAGGCGGCTGCGTGGCTGATAGCGCAAGCGGCAGCCGCCACGCGAGCCCGAGGCTTTGTTGTATGGTTAGGCCGGAGCCGGGGGGACTTTCCTTTACATCGTTCCCGTAGAGTACTTGAGGGGGGGGGGCTCTTCTGAGCTCTCAGGATGGGCTGCTCCGACGTTTCCCCACCAGGACCTTTGCTCAGCCCAAGGGACGTGGCTTGTATTTCTGTCTCTGGCTGCCGACTCCCCTAAGAGGCAAATGAAAGTTGCTGGAGAGTCCCGGAATTCATCGGGCGGATGATGATGGGATGGGAGGGGAGCGGGACGGGGACTCTTGCTTTCGCTTTTGTATTTAACTTCTGTTATTGATATAGTGTATCTAACATGCAGTGTGTATGTATGTATACACATCGTATCTTAAAAGGCTTAGAATAAAAGACCTATTTTAAAGAATCTTTAAGAATAAAAGGCATGTTTATACAAGATTGCACCATCAATTCCACTGCCAAATGTAGAGGATATTAATTGAGTGGATGTACTTATTCAATGGGGCATGTGTAATTTACTCAGCTTTTTTTTTTTTTTTAGTAAGTCAGTGTAGTGTCAAAAGATAACCCAGCAGACTTACCGTTATATCCAGATGTAAAATTATTATGGTGGGGTTTTTTATTGTTTACTTGAAGAATTGCAATGTCATATTTAGGATATTTTCCTATTGAGTATTTTATTTCAGGGAAATCTAATGAGTATCATGTAAGCGATTATTTAAATGTACTTTGACTTTAGTGTTATCTATCTTCTGTCCCCCTTCTTCCCTGCCCCTCTCCTTTTTAGTTCCCCGAAGACACAAGGACAGATGCTACATCCAGAACTTCTGAATATTCGAGCTATTCAGTTTCCTTTTTTGAACTCTCCTATAAAATATAATATTCAACAATGACATAACTTCTTTGCAACAAAAACTGTCATAATAGGACAGATAGAAATCAGATCTGGCAGATTAAGAATGGTCTCAGGAGAGTATGTGTTCATATTTTATTTGCTGGAAGAGCGACCATTGCTTTTCACACCTCTCTGTTCTCAGAATAAATGTTATCATATGACTATGCATTCACAGAAAAATATTCCATCTGCTCTGAGTAGAAAAACAAAAATGGTCTTAATAGAAAAGGAGAAAAATATGTAAAGCCAAGATGCTATTAAGAGGAATGAAATTTACTATAATTACCGCTGCCCACTACCATTTTCCAGCTAGACCTACCCATTTTAAAGCTGCACTGTAGTATGCCTGTCTGATAATACCATCAGATATTAATTGTGCATAGAAATAACCTCTGCTAATTGTTACACATCTAGCCAAGTTAGAAATGTAGAATTTGGTTAGCCCTCAGTGTT